TATTCTCTTAGCTACTTCCTGCTGAAAAGGGACGCTGTAGGTTTCAGGGTGAAGATCTTCTCTCACTACTCTAAAGGGCCCCTTTGGCAGTAGGAAACACATAGACTACAACCACCTATCTTGGAACTCATCTCCACTCTTGTTTTTTCTCTTCCACCTTTTCTTCTCCATTGACTCTTCCCAGCAGTCCATAAATATTGCCAACGCCTTCTGGTCTTTGCCTGAAACACCCATAATATGTAATATATAAAACCCCTGTAATAGTATGTTGAACATTATGTTGTGGTTTAAACTGAAAGATTACAAAGCAAGTTCATTTCCCTGTCAGCCACTGACACACATTTTGTTTCTTTACTTCAGCGGCAGTCCCCTCAACCTCGGGGTAATGAAGCTCTCCCTACTTCCTCCTTGGGTCCCTCCTTCCTCTTCGCACATTTTTCCTGCTCCTCCCTGCCTTGGTTTTTTTGAGAAATGATACCCTTTTGGTCTCCTAGGGTTGATTTTTCTGAAGATCACATTCTTTATGGATTTATTGTTCACTGTATATTGCTGAGTGCTGTCGTGTTCAGAACTGACTCATAGCTGACCCACCAGCAGGTTTTTCAAAGACAGTCAATCACACTGGAAGAGATTGGTCATCCTTCTCCCACAGAGCACCTGGTGGATATGAACCATGTGCCTTTGGGACTACAGCTCAACTTCTTACCACTAAGCCACCAGAACCCCCAATCCAGTACACTGTATGAGCCTGTCTATTGTTTGGCTGAAAGGTGATCCTGGGTATGGGCTCAATTCCAGACTTGGAGGGTATCTATGGACTGTAATATTGGGAGTTTTACCAGTCTCCATCAGATTACTAAGTCTGATCTTTTTAGCATTTTAGATATTGTCCTCCCCCACCCCCACCGCCCCCACACCATCAAGGACTTTCTATTGTGATCCAGCTCAGAGCAGCTTCTATTGGTGGCCAGGCACAGTCTGGTTCATTCTGAACTCAAGCGATTGGAGGCTGTGATGTGTGTCATCCATTGGTCCTTTGGACGAATTGTTTCCAGGAGACTTTTGTGTTCTTCATTTTTCTTTGTTCTGGACAGGAAGAGACCAATAGTTGTGTCTAAGTGACAAAATTTTAGACCCCAGTCACTACTCACCAGGGTAGGATGTCATCTTTGTGGACTGTGTTATGCTGTGGTCCTAAGCCCTCAGACCCCGTGACTCAGTTCCTCAAGATGTTTGGCTACAGCTGAAAAGCTTGCACATTTTGTGCCCTGTATACTGTGGGGTGTGTGTGTGTGTACATGTACATATATCACTGCTGTCAAGGTGCTTCTGGTCACAGGGACCTCCCATCAGGTTTATGAGGCTACAAAGCTTTACAGGAGACTGCTCTCCTACAGAAAAGTTGGTGGATTCCAGCTGGCAGCCTGATATGTTACATGCTACCCCACCAAGGCTCTATATACTGTTAACTATATAGATAGATACATTGGATATTTATATTACGTACAGATACATATATAGCAGTGCCCTCTGCCAAACCTCTCCATGCTCTTGGATATATTCCCATTCGCCTTCCCACATCTGTGCAGCTAATTGACGTAAATTGTTGTTATTACTGTTGTTGTTGCAAGTGCCATCAAGTCAACTAAAACTCATAGTGACCTCTGAAAACAGAGTTGAGCCTTGCACTATTATCCCTGCAGTCTTTCAGCTTGGTCTTGGCTCCCCATCACCCTCTCTCTCACTGTTCACAGACCCTCAGGAAGGGAGCGGTCTCTTCTCTGATCACTATGCAGGCCCACTCAGGCTCTCTGTAGATAGTACCACACCAATTAGTCCTCAGAGCCTGGTTGCTGAGCTCACCTCCACTCCTTTTTTTTTTTTTTACTCTCATACCAGAGGAATGTCTATCATTGATTATGCAAAGGTGTTTGACTGTGTGGATCATAACAAACTGTGACTGCCTCTGTGAAGAATGGGAATCCCAGAACACTTGATTGTGCTAATGCAAAACCTATACTTGAACCAAGAGGCAGTAGTCAGAACAGGGCAAGGAAACACTGCATGGTTCAAAATTGGGAAGGGAGTACACCAGAGATGCATCCTGTCTCCATATCTTTTCAACCTGTGTGCAGAACAGATTGTCTAGGAGTCTGGGCCTTATGAGGAGAAATGTGGGGTCAGGATTGGTGAAAGAGCTATCAACAATCTGCGTTATGCAATGATACAACCCTGCTTGCTGAAACTGAGGAGGACTTGAAGTGCTTGCTGCAGAGGGCCAAGGACTGCAGCCTTCAATATGGATTGAGACTCAATGTCAAGAAGACAAAGATTCTCACCACTGAGCCAATTGGCAGCATCAGGATGGATGGTGAAGAGATTGAGATTATTCACAGCATTAGTTTGCTTGGTTCCATCGTCAACACTCTTGGCACCAGTATCCAGGAAATTAAAAGATGTATTGCCATGGGAAATTCTGCTGTTAGGGACCTCTCCAAAGAACTGAAGAGCAGTGGTGTCTCTCTGGAGACTAAGGTGTATCTGATACAGGCCATGGTCTTCACAATCACTTGTTATGCATCAGAGAGTTAAACAATGACTAAGGAGGATAGAAGGAGAACTGATGCCTTTGAGCTGTGGTGCTAGAGAAGAGTATTGAGAATACCATGGACTGCTAGGAAAACAAACAGATTTGTCCTGGAAAGGGTTAAACCAGGCTGCTCCTTGGAGGCAAGGATTCTGAGGCTCTGTCTAACATACTTTGGACATGTTGTGAGGAGAGACCGGTCCTTGGAGAAGGACATCATGCTTGGGAGGGTGAAGGGACAGCACAGGAGGGGAATGCCCTCTATGAGGTGGATTGATTCAGTGACTGGGATAATCAGGATGGGTGTGTCAGAGACAATGCGATTGGCACAGGACAGAGCTGGGTTTAGGGCTGTTTTACATAGGGTTGCTATGAGTCGCAAGCAACTCAGCGGCATATAACAACAACAACTCATAACCTAACACTTTTAAGTTCAATTGTCCCCCTCCCAATCCAACTCGCTGTGATCTTCATGCCCTGGTCAGCTCTCAGGTCTCTGTGTATAGCCATCTGCACCCAGGCACTAAAGACTAACAGCTGGAACCTTCTCCCTACCCAGGAACATCTCAGAAGAAGGTCTAAAGATCTGCTTCCAGAAAGCTTACAGCCAAGAAAACCTATGGAACGGTTCTATCCCGTGATATTTGAAGTTACTTAGACTCAGTAGCAGGAGGTAGTAGGGGGCAGGAGTTAAGGTGGTCAGGATGACAATGTGGGGAGAGGGTCAGCTCTCTCAAGAAATATCAAAGTGCTTCTCAACCGATATCCTTCCATGAGTCATGCCCAGCTCCAGCTAATCTCCACAGGGCAGGTGCCCGGCATGGCATAGGAGTGAGCAGATAAAGGAAGGGGCAGTGGACAGCTGACTGATGGCATGTGTACATGTGTCCTCGTGAGAGCTTTTGACCTTGTGTTTATTGGCATGGACATGAGACCTGAGTGGGTTTTCTTCTTGCTCTTGACTTCCAAACTTGT